CTTACGCAGAATTAAATTTGGAGCATCTGCTAATTTGGGGTAACACGTAAAACCTTCCATTTTAATTGTTTACCCTCATATAAGATTGAGACAGCATGAAAAATATTTATCGGGACACTTGGCCTGGTTCACAGCATATTTAATAAATATCTACTTTGTGTACGCGTGGGGGACACAGATTGAACATGGTCTGGTATGACTCCTGTGTTCAAGCTGCTCACAAGTTAAAATGCCTTCGACACTCTTTTTTACCCCAATCACTTTTTGCCCTAGTTTCACTTGGTTTGGATAAACTTATTTTTTTTTCCTTTATGAGCCCCTCCCCTTTTTTTCTTGTTCCTATATACCTCAGTTTCAAAATTCTGCTTAAACGTATCCTCCTTCAAGAAGTCCTCCCTAAATGATCCATTCTCATCTAGTTGTATCCGTCTCCAACCCCACTAGGCTAAGGCTATTTTGTGCCACGGGACCTCAAATTCAACTTGAGCAGAAGTCCTCATACTGCCTTCCCCTAGCCCTGTGAATCTCATCTTCCTCCAGGGTTCTCCACCAAGGAACCCAAAAGCAGAAGCCTGGGGGCCACTGAGACTCCTCTGCTGTCTGTAACCCCAGATTCAGTGGTCAGCAGGCAGGTCAATTCTACCTACTAACTAGTCTATTTCTTTTAGACTTGCTTTCTCTTTATCACCAGGCAACTGTTTTCATTCAGGTCCTCTTTCTTCCCTGTCTTACTTACCCTCTGTCTTAAATGGGTCCCCTGGAAAGAAGACCTCCAAACAAGGATTTTGGTGCAGGGAATTTATTGGGAGGTGATCCCAGGAAGTACGGTTGAGGGAGTGGGGAAGCGAGACAGGGGAAGGGAGGAGACAATACAAAGTGTGCAAATAAATGGATCACTCTTTTTTTTTTTTATCCTCATTCGAGGACATTTTTCCATTTTTTGTACAGACAGAGTGGGAGGGAGAGAGAGGAAGAGAGAGAGAGGGAAACATCGATGTGAAAGGGACACATCGAGTGGCTGCCACCCACACAACCAACCAGGGCCGGGGACAAACTGCAACCGAGGTACATGCCCTTAGCGGGAACCGAACCCGGGTCTCTCTGGACCACAGGTCGACACTCTAACCGCTGAGCCAAACCGGCCAGGGCAAAATGGATCACTCTTGAGGAGACTGGGGGTCAATCCACTTGGACTCCCCGCCCCTTCTGAGATGTTTTTAGGGAGCATGAGGTGTGATGAAGCTGGGGTATTTATCCACTGACTTGAGCCCTCTTCTGGGACCAGAGTATGTCCTCAACAGAGACGGAGCCATCAGCATGTGTGGGGACAGTCTGGGGAGATCTTCAGGGAGGGGGTCTTCAGACAGCAATGAGTACACCTTGAGTGTCTCCTAACTGGTTGTCCTGTTCCAGTCTTGCAACCCCCTCCACCTCCAACTTCCGCCCCAAGCGATACTTCTAAAATGCCTAACAGCTTAAAATCACCTGCTTAAAATCACCAGTGGCTTCCCATTGCTTTCAGAAAAATCTAAATGTCCTCCCAACTACTCTTCAGCTTCCCCTCCCCCCCTTCCCAGCAAGTGATCCAGATTCCAGGCCCCGGGCACACTGTATGGGCTGTGGTTCTCTCTTGAGCCACACCCCAAGGGTCCTTGAACACAGCAGTTGCTCATAAATATTTAACAAACATTCATTCGATTGCTACATGCCAGGCACTGTGCTAGACACTGCACATCAATTAAGGAGCTCTTGTCTTCAAGGAGCTTCCTCTTTAAAGGGGACGGGAGAGACACACATAAAGGAATACTTATCTTCAAACTCAGACACTGTATTAGAGGAGGGTTCTTAGAGAAAGTGATGCCTAAGTGGAGACCTGATGAATATAAAGGGGTTTATCCTGCAGACATAAGGAAGTAACTTGCGTGCTGAGAAACTTCTGTGATTTCCGAATGGGGATGGTGAGGTGCCTGGCAGGAACATGTGAAGGTGAGGGATGCCCACCTCCTAGGGAGGGTGGGCTTTATTCTGCGGATCAAGTATAATAAAAGGGCCCTTGTTTCATCCATCCCAGGCTTTCTAGATTCACTGTGGATTGCGTCCTCTAAGGAGCCTTCCCTAATTTTCTCGCTTCCTTAGATTCTTACCATCTGGGCTCTCCTAGTACCCTAGGAAACCCCTCTCTGGTGGTCACAGGGTGGCTTGTGTTTTAGGGTGTATCTCCCCCCACGGCCTGCCGGCCTCTTTGAAGAACTGCTCTTCCTCGCCTCAGTATTGCTGTACAGTGAGAGTCCCTTGAGCTCAGACACACCCGAGTGCTCTAAAGAGGCCAGAGAGAGTGGGAGAATGGACAGGTGCTGCTCCTTAGACGTAAAAGCAAACATAAGTGCTCGCACATGGTCTCTGTCACGCTGTGTGCTGGGAGTTGCTGAAGACGCCGGAGCCCAGGTATGTTTCGGTGGCTTGAACAGAGGCTGTGATGATACCCTAAAATTGGTGACTTTAATTACAAATAAGAGTGATCCTGTCTAGCTAATGGATTTAACTGTGCTCCAGAATCCTTTTTTTTTTTTTTTTTTAATCCTCATCCGAGGACATTTTTCCATTGTTTGTTCAGATAGAGTGGGAGAGAGAGTGAGAGTGAGAGAGAGAGAGACATCGACGTGAAAGGGACACATCGAGTGGCTGCCACCCACATGACCCAACCAGGGCCGGGGACAAACTGCAACCGAGGTACATGCCCTTAGCGGGAACCGAACTCGGGTCTCTCCAGACCACAAGTCAACGCTCTAACCGCTGAGCCAAACCGGCCAGGGCAGAATTCTTAAACTTACTCTTCCTTCCTTCCTTCTTACCACTCCCTGCAATTCTTCCGCGGCTGCCTTGCTGCCCAGAGGGTGGTGGGGAGAGAGGTGCTCTCTTAGGTGATGGAAAGAAACACTCTTTTCATCTCTGCTTTGGCTGGACTCACAGCCAAGTTCTCTGCCTGGCTTCCCGGAGTGACCCATCGCGTGTGAATGGGTAGGAGGTGGTCAATGTGAGCTGACTCTTCTGTGCCCCAAGAGAGTCAGCTTTTGCCAGGGTGGGAGATGGGGTGGGGCCATGAGAGGGTGAAAACCTCCTTTGGAACACTCTGTTCCTCTCCTTCCAGGGTGGGAATGAGGGAGTCATTGCTCACTGTCCCCTTGCCTCAGATCCCAGGCTTTGATGGAGAAGTGTCACACTCCTGGAACAGGGAAGCTAAATCCAGCTGGGTTTACAGCTTCTGGCAGATTAAAAAAGCATGCGTTTCCACACGACTTGCTGAGTTACACCCAATGTTAACGTGTTAAAAAAAAAAAAAAACCCTCCCTGCAGTCCCTGCTGCTGGCTTCTCTGAACACTGACATTGTGAGGCTCTGAGCAGCACTCCAAGCTTACTTTCCAGTGTCTGGTGTTTATGCGCCTCTTCTGAGCTGGGTTTTCCCCCAATGCATTGCCTCCTCCTCAAGGGAGGAAGCCTGCGAGCCTCCAGCTTCCTTAGTAACTTCCCAGTTCCTCTGCCCACAGCCTCTTGGAGTCTGCTCATAAGCTCCGGCTTTGTGTCCATTGCACAGGAGGTGAGCAGCGTGGCCTGAGACATGTGGCGGAGTTTGAGCAGCCTTTAGGACGCAAAGACCAACAATGGCTCCCCTCCAAATGACCCCCCTCCAGAAAACAGTAAAAACCCCACAAAACAGAACAGCTGTCCCAAGCGCATCTTCTTCGCACGGCTCTCAGAAAAGGCAGTATGCAGAGCGGTTAGTAGTTCAAGTCCTCAGAGCCCTCTTAAGCTCTGTGACCTCAAGAGGTTACTTGAGCGCTCTGCTTCTCTTTCCTCCTCTGCAAAATGGGAATAGAAACTGAATCTAGTTCAGGGCGATGTTGTAAGAAATAATGAGCTACTTGCGGCGCACAGTTGAGCGCTCAAGGCATACTGGCTATGCCGATTAGTAATTAGCTATTAGTAATCTACAGATTAGGAAGTTGTGTCTCTCGCAGTACTTGGTGAGCTTGGCTGGCTGGTCCCAAAGGGGTGGCCGGCTTGCCAAGCCCCTTGAAGATCTGCTCTCTCCGGACCCGGGTCCAAGCCGCCTAGGCGGGGGCCTGGGTGCCACTGTGATTGCTCAGTGAGGTTGACCTGGGGGCTGCACAGGTGCAGCCCTGACCACAGACAGGGTGTGGGCTCCTGCGCGGAAGCCCGGGTCCGCAGAGGCCAAGCGTGCCGTACGGGGCACTGGCCCCGGCCCGTGAGCCGGCAGGGGGCGTCTGGGCCGTCCAGAAGGGCGTCTGGGCCGTCCAGAAGGATGCCGCCTGGCGTGGGACCTCGGGTTCTGCGAACTCTCGCTGGAGCCCAGGCCCCGCCCCCGCCCCGGGGAGCCCCTCCCCCTGGCGCCCCGGGTTGGCTGCCGCTCGCGGCCACGCGCAGCCATTTGCCCCGCGCCGCGTCACTTAGGCTGCTGGGGCTGGTCCGGGAGGTGGGGGCGGCGTGCGCGAAGCTGTCCGGCTACCCCGCCCTGGGAGACGCCCCAACCCTCATCAAGTGACCAGTGTCCCTCCCTGGAGAACACGGTCCTTCAGGGGAAAGCGAGCTCCGTCCCGCACCCGGCGCCAGACCGCCGTCATCTCCCTTCCTGTGCTGGCTGATGTGCCTCCTAACCCACCCGGAAAAACATAGTCCGCCCCTCTTGTCCTTGCAGTCGCGCTCGCTCCCAATCGCTGCGACTCCCGTGGCCCGCACCCGTGCCTTTCCCATTCCAAGCACTCCAGGCCCCGCCAAGGGGATCAGGCAGCTCGGAGAAGAACGCTTAGGGGCGAAGCCAGACGGGGAGCCGGGGGACAGGAAGGGAAAGGCGAGGCTGGCGGAGGGACACCGCGGGCCGCGTAGTGCGCATGCGCGCGGGCAGGAACGAGTTCCGGTCTGGCCCGGGCCTGTCTCCTAAAAATAGCCCCGGTGTGGGGATCCGTGCGCGGATGTCCCGGCGAGTCCCGGGCTGAAGGAGGCGTCTCCGGGCGACGCGGGGCGCTGGTGGCGGGTCCCGGCTGCAGCGTGTGTGTGCCCGCCGGCTGCTCCGGAGACGCGGTGAGGGCCTGCGGCGGTGGGGCTCGGTCCTGGGGGCCGGGGGTGTCAGAGGGGCGACCTCTGGACGAGGGGGCCGGGTAGGGGCTGAGGCACGCCGGGGCGGGATGCGGTGTGACGGGGAGGGGAGCCCGCTGGCCGCGGGGACACCGGGACAGGGCGGCGTCCGGCTGGCAGGAGGCCGGGTCGCAGGCTCGCGGCGCTGGGGCGGGTGGGGTGCGGGTGGGCGGCCGGAGGGGGTCGAGTGGGCTCCACACCGAGGGACGAGGCGCCCCAGGAGTGGGGGCGGGGTGCCCCGAGGGCGGGCCCGGGGACAGAGTGGTGTCGCCGGGCAGGGAGGGACTGGGCAGCTGGGACTGGGCCGGTGGAGCCTCCGGGGCGCGCTGGGCGCTGGGGCTGGGGGACAGCGGTGGACGTCACCGCTTGGAAAGTTGAAGGAGTTCCCTGGGCGCCCGGAGCCTTTGGGGTTCGGATCGCGGGATCGCGCTCCGAGGCGGGGGTCTCCCCGGAGGGGTTGACCCCCATGTGGGGGGCATTCCGCGCTGGGGTTGGACGCGGAGAAGTCCCCTCACTTCTGCTTTGGGGGAAGGTGGGTTTCCAGGGGCGGAACACTGAGGTCCGAACTCCCCGTGGGTGTCGTGTCAGCGGTGGGCGTCCGAGGGCCCGAGCGCCCGCCCGGGGGGCGCGGGCCCGGGGCACCTGCGGGTGCAGACACCCGACCCAGCCGGGAAACATCGCAGGGACCGAGGGGCCGAGGGCGGAACAGCCTGCTGCCCCCGACGCCCAAGCAGTTCCCGGGGCCGCGGGGACGGGCTTGCGTGATAGAAACTTTGCTTTTTTTATTCCGTGTCATCCGTCTTGGCACAGCGAGAATTAAGTTAGTAGGTGACATCGTGCAAACAACTTTGGGAAGAGGGAACGTTTCTGAATTAGAAAAACATTTTAATTTTTCTCCCCCCTCCGTGAAAGTGCAGACTGGAAAAGTGTGATTCCGGAGATAACGTTAACGTGTGTTTCAGTGTACAATGCAGTTGGGACTCCAGTAATTGTGCTATCGGAGAGGCCTGCTGTGATGTGTTAACAATAGTATATGTGTTTGAAAACAAATATTGTCTCGGATTCTTCAAGTTATTATTATTATTTTTAACCGCAGCATGTTTCCCTTGTGTCTTGTATCATGTATTATTAGTACACGGAGAGAAGGTTCTTTAAAGCGCAATTAGGTGTACATTACACGCGAGTACTTTCCCTTTAAGAATCCAGCTGTGTTGTTTTGGCAACTGCCAAGTACTCCAATTTGTCAGTTTTAAAATCTGTTACCTTGGCCGTAGTTGAACAGTCAGTCTGTGGAAAAGATAAACAAAATAGCTGTAAAAAAAATTTTAAAGCATAAATATGGCATTTATTTTAAGAAATATGAATTGAGGGGTGGAGGGTAAAATAACTATTGTGCTATGGCTTTTGCATGTCCAATTTTTGGTTTTTGGTTTTTTTTGGGGGGTGTATATTTTTGGAGGGCTTAGTCTACTCATCTTTAACTGTATGGTAACTTTTGTTTTAGGAGAAAAGTAAAAAAATGTTTTCACTAAGGTGGATGCCAATTTTAGTTAGACTTTATAGCAAATGTAATGAACATGTTGTTTGGCATAAGATACTGAAATTAGTTTGTTCTATGTGATGGTGTCCTGATTGATTCTGGAGTCGCTTGCAGTTCTCACTGAGCATTGTTGTAAAAAGTTGTGTTAACAGTGGTAGAATAATCAAAGTATTCTGAAGAGCCAAAACTGGGATTTAAATACCATGTAGCTCAGTCTTTAACACTTTGTTTGCAAAATCGTTTCCAATAGATCTTAATTACTAAAGCGATCAATTTGTTGAAGTCACTTTGTGGAAGAAATAGTGATGTTCCTAAACAAATTTGCTCATCTGTTTTATTTCATCCACACTATTGTTACATGCGTGTTAAACTGTTTCTTTTTTTCATGTTGGAACAAAGGTGATAAGATTATATTTAGCTCAAATTACTTTCCAGCAAAAGTTTTTAAAAAATTGTTAAGGGATGTAAGTGAGTGGTGGAGGTTGTTCAGTGGAAGGAAAATAGCTCATTGGGGCTCAGAAGTAATAAGTGTAATTTCACTGTGTTGAATTACGGTTTGAGAAGAACCTCCTTCCATTTTCTTGGAGTTTTTATTTTTCCTTCATAGGTATGTGTGACAAAGTTTTTTTTTTTTTATAAATGCAATTGGAAATAATCTCTTCAAGATGTTGAGTTATTTGGAGTGGTTTATTTTTTCAAAACAATTGCATCATAGCTTTGCATTTTCCGTTTAGAATGTTGTGCAGGTTAATATTAATTTTATTAATATTCAAGCAGTAGCAACATCAGTCATTAATTTAGTTACCAAGAGAGAAATAGTGAAGTGTATTCTGAGGGTGGTTAAGTAATTATGGAAATGTTTATTAGAACATGATTTTAAAGTTTGAGCTATTTAATTACATCTTTAGTAGATTTGTGTTGTGGTTTACGAGGAGGACGCTGTAAACAAATTTGTTCCTGGGAAGTAGCATGCTGTCAGTCAGGTTTTGAAAAGCCTCCTTTTTTTTTTTCCTTTCTCTTGGCTGCTTTTATTCTGGTGAGAGGTCAAACAGCGATGATGGTCCTGGATTGCCTGTGGGCATGGTAATCAGACCATTCCCCCATTTTTGTTTTTTGAAGATGCACTCATGGAAGCTATGAATATTATAAAGTCTAGCTGGAATTTTCTTTTATCAGTGATGGGGCAATGAAAATACGGCTTTGTGGATTAAAAATGATCACTTGCTTTTTTCTAGATTAGAAAGAAAATCTGTGAACACACTTAGTAAATGAAGGAGTGCCCTCTCAATGCTTAAGTAGTTAGAGAAGTATAAATGTGGAAAATCATATCAATCTTTCGGTTAGAAAACCTCCAACAAAGGAACACTTGAACATGTGCTGATTTGCAAGTCCTCCTAAAGGAAGACTTTCAGTTTGCCATCAGATCTTGGTTCAGATCTCAGCACTGCTGCTGACAAAGTTATGCAACATTTCTAACCCCTGAAGGAATCACACTACCTGCCCCTTGGAATTGTTAGAATTAAATGAAGTAATGGTATGAGAGTTTCTAACACACTGCCTACGGCTTAATGCTCAAAAATGCACATTGCCTAGTCTCCCTTTATTCCTTCCTCCATACCTCCATCGCTTATATAGGTACTTTGTCTAGTTACTTGTATGTGTAAAGTGTGACCAAAGGATTTTCTATAGTGTATACATTCAGGAGACTGCACATGTATTTATTTGGGACGCGATATCCCAGCCTCTGAAATTCATTGTTAAAGTATACGTAAAATGTTTAGTTGGCTCTTCTACATTAGATTTTTCATCTGCCATCATTGTTTGAGTCTAACCTCCATAATTTCCCCAAATATTTTTTTAAAAATTGAGTTAAATATAAGTATTTTCCCTACTCTTCAGTGAAATGTGTCCTTTGGGAATTAACTGTGTCTTCAAGAGACAGTAATTAAACTTTAAAATTAGAAAAATATTTTTATAACACAGCTGGAATAGGTATAATTTTATTTATTTTATTTTTTGTTAATTCTTACCTGAGGATTTTTTTCCATTGGTTTTTTTTTTAGAGAGAGTGGAAGGAGGGGGTCGGCAAGAGAGAAACATCCATGTGAGAGAGACACATCGATTGGTTCCCTTCCACACACGCCCGGACCAATCGAACCTGCAACCCAGGTACATGCCCTTGACTGGGAATTAAACCTGGGACCCCTTGGTGCACAGGCTGGCACTCTCACCATTGGGTTACACCAGCCAGGGCTGGAATAGGTATATTTTATTTTATTTTTTTGTACTCTTCACCTGAGGATATTTTTCTACTTCTCATCAGATAAAGGGAGAGAGAGAGGGAGGGAAGGAGAGGGAGAGAGGGAGGGAGGGAAGGAGAGAGGGAGAGAGTGAATCAGAGAGAAATATCCATGTTATAGAAGCCACATTGCCTGGTTGCCTCCTGCATGACCCCACCAGGGCAGGGGACAAACTGCAACAGAGGCACGTACCCTTGACTGGAATTGAACCTGTGACTTTTTAGTCCATGGGCCGATGCTCTAACCGCTGAGGCAAACCAGCTAGGGTGAAATAGGTATATTTTAAAAATAGCTTTAGTAGGTGTCTACAGGGTGGGGCAAAACGAGGTTTTCAGTTGTGAGTCTGAGAAGCAGTTTATTATTTAAAAATTTTTTAAAAACATCTTTTCTTTATTGATTTTTAGAGATAGAGGAAGGGAGAGGGAGAGAGAAATACAAACATTGATGAGAGAAAACATCGATTGGTTGCCTCCTGCCTGCCCCACGCTGGGGATTGGGCCCACAACCTGGGCATGTGTCCTGACTGGGAATCCAACTGTCGACCTCTTTGTGCATGGGTCAACGCTCAACCACTGAGTCACACTGGCTGGGCTATTATCTTATTATTTATCAATTGTATTGTTTTCTGTATGAATAACTATAAATCTACTTTTGCTCCATCCTGTATAATCTTTTTATACTTCATTTTACCTGCTTTGTGGAACTAAATGATTTTATCTGTGTACTCCATAATATATGGACTTGTGTCCAGTTTATTATAATTGCATGTAAACCCATGTAAAGTCTCATAGCACTTGATGTCTTTGACACATAGTTAATAAATACTATATTTTAATATACATTTTTATTTACTGATTTTAATCATTATTTGTATTTACTGAATTTAATCGGTATTTATTGAACTTAATATTTTAGTTAATATCCAGTTGTCTTAGTAATCACTTGAGATGAAATCATAAGCATATAAGTTAAAAAATTAGCTGGTTTCTGAGGTGGAATGCCAATATTTGAATACTGGTGTGTGACAGCAGGTAACTTACTTCTTGAGTTGAATAACTGATGGTGCTGAAAGCCAGAGGAATTGTTAACATGCGTGAAAAACACAC